TCTGAATCAATAGAAGTTAGAGTTGCAAGCCACGCCAGGACAAGGGCAACCCCACCGTCACCAAAGACGGCCGAGGCTCTTAAGCGGCGGAAAGCTTCCCCTTACAATTGTAGAGAGGTTCTCTACGGACCACTTGTATTTGCCAACTGGGTGCAGAGCTTGTTGGATTGCTTGGTTTGTCCTGTTGTTGAATTCATTGGAACTTACTAAGGATGTCAGTATGCAAGGGACAAAGTTCGATAGTCTTGATGAGGCATGTGAAGGGCACGTGCAAGGAACAGAAGCAGTGGAGGTGCCAAGACGGAGTCAGTGTCCTGCACTTTGCGGCTAGTATAGCTGAGGAAATCAGCGGTCCGGTCCCAAACCATACGTGCGTCAGTACGGGCATGAGGGTCAGGCCCGCAACGTTCGGCTCTCTGATGTCATAGCATGGAGGCGACCTCATCATGATGTTGAACGCCGGTCACAGACTTGGGGCAGGGCTTCGGTTGAGTTTCCTTGCAGAGATCGGGATGCAGCGCGTGAGATTGGTGAAGGTTTTCTTCTTTCAGATTGAAAAAATGTGCAGAAGCTGCCCAGATCCAGAAACCTCTATTGCAGGTGGTCAACAGGCCCCCAACGTAAGACTGTGATTCCTTGATCAGAGTGCCCGGTTCTGAGATCCAAGGTCCTGACAAGGTGATACTAAAGCAGCTGGTGGAGGCCCCTGGCTAGGAATTGCAAGTATGTCCAAACTGATTGGACTGGACGTCGTTTAAAGTTCAGATTATAGGCGTTCTGGCGCGAGCTTTCATACCTTGAAGCTCCCGCAAGGTCGTAGGAGTGCACGCTGTGCTTCTTGGAGTTAGTTCGAGGTAAGGAATGTACATCTACTATCCAGAGCCCGTGACGGATCTCGCAATGCTTGCCTGAGGAAGCCGGTGGAAAGAAGGCTCGATCTGGTGGTTCGAGGGTTTGTGCAGTGTGGATGCTGGGAGGTTCTGTGCCGCTGCTTGATCGGAAAGCAACCAAGGAAGAGCGACGGAGGAAGGATTTCACTTCATTCAACTCGTGTGATGAATTGCATCATACCGCACTTGGAACGGTAAGTAGACCGGACCACGTCGAAATAAAAGCATGAGGCATGGTTTCTCTGCGTGACCCGTGACCAGTCTCCTGCATGTGTGAGGCTTTGAAGCGTCAGGCTGAGGAGGAGGACGAGGACGAGGACGAGGAGGAGGCGCAAGAACGCTCATGAAAGCATCCTTTTTTTTATATCGTGTAATGCGATACACATCCTTGAGCTATTTATGGTGCAGCGTCGCCCGACCCCCCCCCATGAGATGTAACCTGGGCCTGTATCCCCTCGCAAGGCGTACGGGAGGCAAACACAGGTGTCTCTTTTCCTACAGGCCACAGCTGTAGATCAGTCCTCTGCTAGAACCTTGAGCAACAGGCATGGATACAAGCAAGTGATACGTGAAACAGACAGGCACCTGGATGTGTAACAGTGTTTCAGCCAGGCACAAATTTAGAAACACGTAGAACTGCATGGCCGTGGAGTCGGCATTCTAATAGCCTGTTATTGCCCAAGAATGAATTATGAGCAGAGTGTTTGAGCCACGACGGAGAAGGACTTTACAAACTATACAATCTTCTCTGCCTGTGCAAACTATAGTTCCCGGAGACAGCTTCCTGAAAAGTAAACGAACATACAAACTCAACTGGATCTCGATTCAAACTGATTTAAAAATTTTGCCCACGCGATCAGTTACCTGTCCTTGGAAAGCATACTGCTTAGCTCCACTTGTTGCCAGCAATGGCATTTGCGGCTCGGCGACTAGAGTATCTCTTCCTGTGAAAAGTATCTCTATATGTCTCTGACAATACGGGCATAAGAAGTTCCCCTTCCAGTGGCAGGCATCTTCTTAAGATCTGAAATCGCAGTACATTAGGATACCCTCTCCTATGAGAAGCAATCCTCTAAGCGTTCAGTCGACGAGTTCAGACATCGGGTTGTACATGCCCCTTGTCACGCGTCTTCTCCCTCTTTCGTAGGCCATACCATATGCATAGGATCATCATGCTGATAATACCAGCGCTGTGCCTTCAGTCTGGGAAAACGAAAAGAAGGGTCCAGATCATATGGAGGTACAGGAGTCGAAGTATCATGGTTAAGATATATGACATCCGACTCCCAGTTGTAGTCGTGACCTAGTCAGTACTTCCCTTTGCCCCTGCGTTTGTCTTTGCCCTTGGAGGACTTGCCTCCCTTCTCGGCGGTCTTGCCTCCATGCTTTCCTTTCGGAGGATGCGCTGGTTTTGGAGGTCGTTGAGAACCTTTGGAGCCGGTGTTAGAAGTACCGGAGGCTGCCTCACCCTGTGGTGAGCTTGTCTCCGCAGCGGGATCTGTAGATGACCCAGCTGCCTTCCTCAGCTTCTGTCTCTCCTCAGGATTCCGATTCAAGGCCTTAGCTCGACTTCCCGAATATAGGTTCGCGTGAACCTCGATGAGAAGTGGAGTGTGGGCATCGGTGTCCGGATCGTTGAGGATGTAGGCGGCTGATGACGAATTAAGGACCCATTCAGAATCGTGGATCTTGAACTCTCGCGGAATAGGCGATGGTCCAGAAGTCCAGTTGCTCCATTGGTCATCGTCCATTGAGTGTCCCCATTTGAGAACAGAGGCGACGACCGGGTCCAACGTCGGGAACGTATTCCAGTCCGGCTGTGAACATTCCTTGTAAGGCCTGCCGAACTGGTCCTCATACTGCTTGAGCAGGCAGAGGCTGTTAGCCGTCGTAGTTTGGTGTTTCGGACAGCATTTAGGCACAACCTTAGAGCAGCGTGACCATGCTTCGAGGAAGTAATCCAGAAGACTTTGAGAGATGCCACCCTTGATGTCTGCTGAGCCCTGCTTCCGACCCCACGCACGGTATGTAGCCATATTAGCGTCCCCACAGATGAGGTCCACCTGAAATCGCAAGCAGCCCGTAAACATCGTGGCCAGTGCTTCGTGGGCTAGGCCGACCTTGTCACCAGCGATCCCGCTATCCAGATGAAAGACGCAGACTCGGACAGAGTTACTGCCGGCTCTTGTCAAAGGAGCTGTAAAAGCGGCACCGGGAAAATCTTGCCGATCGCCGCCTTGATTCGCTGGCAAGGTGTTGCCGTACTTGATCTCGACCGACGACCATAAATGAACAAGGTAGATTATGGTGGGCTACCCCGACTAGTGTCGAGCCTGCCAACTGTACCATCTTTGACTCCACCCTGTTTGTACGGCATCCGACGAGGAGGTCTCCTCCATTGTTTCGTTGAGTTTGCCACCCACGGTTATGGAGGAACTGCATCTCGTCATCCTTGATCGCTCCTGCCTCGCACAGAAGGAATAGATGGGCCTTTGCTTGTGCCACCGATTTTATCAAAGAGCCTCGGCTTGTTACAGTGACGTCCCAGTCGATGTTGTCGGAGAACACGCTGGGAGCAGATTGGTTTCTGCCACCGGAGAAATTGCTGAGATTGGGCACCAACGCTGCATATTTTGTTTTGCTGGTATACACCGGGACAGGTGCATCTTCAGCAAAGCCAAAACGGAAGAGCTGTGGATTCGGCATCTTGTCCAGTGACAAGTCCCCGATCTCCTCTTCGCTCACTCCCACGGAGAGGCAGGTATGACGCATGTAGTTCAACGGCTCCTCCCTCGTGGCTGGCTTGCGTTGGCTGCAAGCTCCCTGACCTTCTCGATGAGCCCTGGCGTGACCTCAAGTGCTGAAGCGCGAATATCCGAAGGCTTCTCCATCAGATGATCGTCCAGAGTAGACCGAATATCTCCCGCTCTAGAGACCACGTCATTGCGCGACGGGCGGCGCATATAGATCGGTTGCGTCTTCACCAGGGAGTCGAACAGCTCTGTCTCGCTGAGATGGAACTTCTCCTGCTGGTGAGGATGATGTCGTACTCGCCATCGCATGTGCTGAACCTTAAAGGCTCCAACATGGTTTGCTCGCACATCATCGTGGTACATGTAGTTGTAGCCGCGCCCGTTCACCTGATCAGCTAACCGCGTGAGCGGCGGTGTGATGTGTTTGCCAGAAGGCAATAAACTCGGGAGTTTTGAGGAGAGGTTGCTTCTTCTTCTCAGCCTCCATGTTGTCGAACGCCTTCCCGTTCCCCTCTGTCTCCGCGGAGGAGGCAGTCCTGGTAGCCTCGGCGAACTTCTCCGGATCCACGACGATCTTGACCTTCCCCCAGATGCCTTGATCATGTAGCTCTTCATCTTGATCCTCTTCGACATCCTTGTCGGGAGAAATGTCAGGCATGGATTCCTCACCCGGTGGTGAGCTTTCCTGTGCCTTTTCGTCGCTGGGTCCGTCAGCTTCGTCCATTTGCACATCCTTTGTTGGATCCGATTCCTCTACGTGTGGAGAGCTTTCGGTTTTCTCGACCTTGACCCCAGATGCCTCTCCCGGTGGAGAGCTGTCTGGAGCGTCGGTCTCCGTTGGTGTGCTGGTGTCCTCTTCAGCCATCTTACCTTAGTAAGTCCGCTGAGGATTCACCGGACGGTTCTAACGTATCCATTGGAACCGAATCGTCGGAAATCTCTTCGATGACAGGTCCCGGCAGGTTCACGAGAGACTCCTCGACCACGATGTCTTCATATGGCCGCGTGTAGAGCTCCTCGCAGAGTTATTTTTCCTGACGAGACTTCATCGCCTCATACGCTTCCAACTACTTCAAAGCCTTCTTGGCGAAGTTGCTCTTAAAGGTCTTCTCGTTGGTGTTGTGAAGCACAGAGTTGAGGACCGCAAGGATATATGGCGCATGGAAGGGCTCCTTTAAGGACGAATCGTAGAGGTTGTAGCCCAGCTTCTTGAACTGTCATCAGACTTCAAAGGAATTGCCACATCATGCCACGGATCGTGATCACGCCTGACCTTCGACTGATTAACACGAAGAACAGCGCGATGCACTTCAACCGAGACCATGGCACCTTCTTGTGACACAACAATTCCTCTGACCTAGATGCCTTCTGACTTCTTCTTTGACTCATCTTTATGCCAGACAAAAACACGATCTCCCTTCTTGTATGGACCATCAGACGGCATCGCCCGTCGTGCTTGATCCTTTCGAAGTTCGATCGACTGTCGAGCTTCTTGATGAGCTCTCATGGCAATCCTCTGGAGATCCAGAGTAGTCCTATCCTCTTCGGCTGGGTCAACAGAGAGCTGTTCTGGAGTGCTTGTCTCCGCATCAAGCAAGTCTGGTGGTCGTTTTCCAGTAGCTGTTTCCACAGAAGAATAGCCGGAGACGGTAAGTTGGCAATTTCTTGCCCAGGCCACCTTCTTGACTGCTTGACGAACTGTAACCTTCTCAAAGCCTTAACCATGATCGACCAAGTTCGCCGGACAGACGAACAGCGGTCTCAGCACGATTCAGCCAAGGAGTGCGAGGTCCACAAGGATATGGAGTGATTCCATGAAACTTGTAGAAAGACATGAACTGATGATCAGTGAAGAATGCTTGCTCTCCAACGATTCCCTTCTCTTCAGTCCATTGTCGGAAGGCTCCCAGAGTCTCTGGGCTTCCAGACTAGTAAGGGCCGTACCCGCAGGCGATTAGAGGCACCATCAATAATGACCAAGGCTAAGTAAGCCTTCTGACGAAACTTGATTTCCTGGTGATCAACAAACATGAGATCACCAAAGGAAGATGTCTGTTTGTTGATCATCTGTAAGATGTGCTCGTCCTCTGCGACGACGAAAGACTTTTCTTCCAGAAGCTCCTTTTCCTTTCTTTCCTCTTTTTCCTTTTCCTTGGGAAGCTCCTCTTCTCATCTTTCTTCCTTCGTCGCTGGAACCATGTGTAGTTCTCCTCGTCGTAGACCCAGAAGGTGTCGTCATCGGCTTCGAGAAAACCTTCTGTGCCATCCTCTTCATCCTCGACCCAGTAGCCTTCGTGGTTGTCCAGATAGCCTCCATCAATGACCAGGAAGGTCTTCCGGCCACCATGACGGGGGCGCAAGGAGAGGATTGTCGACAGTAGTCTTTGTTGTACAGAACACCTCGAGGTAAACTTCACGGAGCTCGTTCAGGCGGTAGTCGGCCAGCACGCGGTTCCGATGCGCCATCAACAATGTCAAAACCTGTCGCTGATCTTGCGTGAGGTTGGACAGGGACACATTGATGAGGGCAACCAGGTTGGCCGTGATCGGAATCGTCCTCGCATGCGGGTCTCTGAGCCTTTCATTGGCTCTGTTCATCGCCTCTTCGTTGGTGATGTCCGCTTGTTCCTCGGCTGGAAGTCCTGATACGAAAGCTCTGACCTCTGCGTTGTTGGGTTCCGTGATGGGAAGGTAGGTATCGTTCCACGCTTCTTGCATCCTCTGAACAGAGAGTTGGAA